TGTATATTGCACAACCGTGTATACTGCATGACTGTGTATACTATACAAGCAGGTATACCGTACAACTGTTATTTTTGCTGCTTTAAAGTGTTTTTTTTTTTTTGTGGAAAAAAGGACTTCCTTTTTCATTTTCTGCTTTGCAGACGTGTAACGCCCATGTTGTTTTTCTTTCGAGTGATACTATGCCAGGTTACACTACTAAATTATGGACCCAAATTTGACTTCTTGGTCTAATTCCAATGCAGCTATCATGCAGTACCCTTTAAAAGTACTTCACTGGCTTCAGCTCACGAGACTTTTACTTCAGACTTTTGCATCCATATTCAAGAGAGAGCGGCCAGCAATTTTCCCTTCTCCAGCCTTGTTTGGTTTTGAAGTCAGTACAGTAATAACCTCGTAAACCAAGTTAGAGAACACGCCTGCTCTCCCTGCATGCTGGGCTGTCGTTTCTCGGAAAGAGTTTATGTAATGTGAAAATTCTCTATTCCTTAATTGTTTGGTCGAATTTACCTATGAAGCTGTCCAGGCTTGGTAGCTTTGCCATGCAAACATTTAAATATTGATTTGGTTTCTATAAGGATTAGAAACAACTCACAATTTCTACTTCCATCCCTCTGCAGTTGGGGCGCAGTCACTGGTGATTTTGGTATCAGCTCATTTAGAAAAGTTTTCAAGCTTTTCGGAGAGAATTTGGTCATGAGAGTCATGTTCCTCTTTTAGTTATAGCATCTTGATCCCCTACTCTCTTCCATCTTAAGAATTGTTAGAGCTTATAAATTTTATTCTCTTTAATATCCACTCAGGATTTATTGTCCTGTCTTAGCAAGTTAATGACATCTGCTCTTATCTTTATTATTACCATCTTCATGTTGTTTTTGGATGAAAGTATCATATTTTGTTTTCTGACTTTTTATTGACATGTGTATATACATGCTCATATGTGTGTGTTTTGGGTGTGTATGGTGTATGTTCGTGTGTATGTGTTTTGGGTGTGTGTACGTGTGTATTTTGTGTGTGTGTTGTGTGTGTGTATGGTGTGTGTTTGTGTGTGGATGTGTACATGCATATTTATGTACGTCTTTTGTATGTGTGTGTGTGTGTGTGTGTGTGTGTGTGTGCTGATGTGTGTGTGGAGTCTGGAGGATAGCCTCAGGTAGAGTTCCTAGTGCTTTCTCTTTGATTGGTTGGCTCGTTTTGTGGTTTGGAAAGTTTGGTCTATGTTACTATCCCTTGTGTAGTTGTCTTGGATCTTCAATGAAGCATATTTTAATAAGATCTAAAGTGAAATATTTTTAAGCTTCCTGCAAACAATTTGAGGATCACTGAATGCCCATTGTCTATTTATAGATTGGCACTTTAGATATTTTATTAACAATGTTTCAAAGCACTTTTGCTTTTTTTTTTTTAGGTAGCCTAGATTAACTGTATATTTGTAACTTTCTTTTTTCTCTTTATTTATTTATTATTACATGTGTAGATGATGTATGAAGGTGGCAGGCATGTGCAGGTCAGAGGACAACTTTCCTTATCCACAGTGGGATGTGGGGATCGAGCTGAGGTTGCCAGGCTTCAATGGCAAGTGCTTCTGCTCACAGATCCCATCACTGGCCCCATCACTCTCTTTACTGTTCATTCCTTTGTGTCAGAGTGCTTGCTGTGTGTGGCAGTTTCAAAGAAAATGGCCTCTAAAGGGAAGGGCACTATTAGGAGGTGTGGCCTTGTTGGAGTGGGTGTGGTCTTGTTGGAGGAAGTGCATCACTGTGGGGGCGGGCTTTGAGGTCTTTTTTTCTCAAGCTTCATTCAGTGTGACAGTCAGTTGACTTCCTCTTGCCTCTGAGTCAAGATGTAGGACTCTCAGCTCCAACACCATGTCTGCCTGCATGCTGCCATGCTCTCTGCCATGATGATAATGGACTGAACCTCCGAAACTATAAGCAAGCCACCCCAATTAAATGTTTCACATTTCTGCTTTACAGTATTCTAGAAGCTCTGTTTGGAGAGAGTTTTCTTCAAATTTTCATATTTGATCATCTCTTTTTTTTGTTAGATTTTCTAGACTATATTTAGCATCATAAACATAAATGACTATATAATTGTTTGATAACTCTGATATATATGCCTCCAAGGCTCTGATATTAAATTAACTGATCCTGCTACCTCTCCCTGAGAGCAGCACATGTTCAGGTGGGCTCTGTGGCTCAATGGATAGAATAGTGGACTTCCCAGGCAGTGGTGGCGTATGCCTTTAATCCCAGCACTAGGGAGGCAGAGCCAGGCAGATCTCTGTGGGTTCAAGGCCAGCCTGGTCTACAGAGCGAGATCCAGGACAGGCACCAAAAGTACACAGAGAAACCCTATCTCAAACAAACAAACAAACAAACAAACAAACAACAAAAAACAAACATAAAAAAAGAACAGTGGACTTCTAGAATGATAGTGGCACATTTTCCTGCTTGGTGAATTTTGATTGTTAGATTATGTTTGTTGAAAGCTTATTGTGGGGATTGTTTGAGTTCTTGATTTTAATTCCATAGACAGGAGTTACCTTTGCCTCTGTGCATGAATTATGAACTGATCTCATTTGACAGTTTAAAACAAAAATTCTTATTTGCTTTGCTCTTACAGGGAACATGGATTCAGACTGTAAATTCAAGAAGGAAAGCTCTCTCTCTCTCCCTCCCTCCCTCCTTCCTTCCCTCCCTGCATCCCTCCCTCTCTTTCCTATTCCCCTCCCTCCCTTCCGTTCTGTCTTCTCTCCCGTTCCTCCTCCATCTCCTCTTCTTCCTTTCCCCATTGTTGACAATTTACCAGTTGATATCTAGAAACAACATATGCTAAAGACAAAAGTCAATGTTCAAAACCAAAGTTTGCTTATTTTTCTTTCTGGGCAAAAGTTCTTTACTCAAATGCAAAATGAGGCAACCTCAGGTTTTGTGACATCCTCAAGTAGATGTGACTGGCTCAGTCTTTTTGGAAGAAAACTTCTAAGAATGTGTATTGCCTATACCCTGCTCCTATTCCAGGGAAACCATGATCAATAATGTCAGTGTGAAAAGCAGCTATGAAAGCCTGCTGGGAGGGCTGTTATCTGGCCTTTTGAGCAGAACCAGGCAGCTGCCTATTGTTTCTCAGTTTTCATATTGCTTTGTTATGAGTGAAGTATTCAACAATGAAGCCTAGGGTGAAAGTCAACCCTTTCTCCATCTATATCTATGACAGACCCAGGAGAACTGAAACAGGACTCGGACCTGTCCAAGACAACTCAGGAGAGAGAATGCAGACTGCAGTCTCAGCAGTGAGGACATTAACATGAACTGAGCCCTCTTCTAAGGAGGCTGGAGAGGGACGTTCCTCAAGAAATCTGGCATGACATTTGACTGGAAGACATAACATGTATGTGAACTATGTGTGCTTTTTGGACACGATGGAACATGCCATTCAGAACTGGTTGTGACCAGTTCCACAGAACTTCCGAAAGGCCACACCTTCTTGTCATGATCAAGGGGACCCTTAGGAAGCTAGAACATATCAGCATGCTTTCTCTCCATTATCTCAGAGACTGCATGGATGAGGGATTGGGATCAATCAAAAGAGTGTGGAGCAAACTGTTGCAGAATTAATCCCCTCCAGCTGCTAAGGCATTGTGAAGAAAGCTATTGCTGATCAAAGGACTTGTACATAAATCTCTAAAGCTTGTTGGCAGTTAAAGCTTGCTATAAATGGATTTTTCTCTTCCTATTACTTGCTTTTATTTCTTTTCTTTTTCTTATTCCTTACTTAAGAAAAAATAGAGATGGGCTGCTCATGTAGTTTGGGCTGGCCTTGAACTTGTGGTTGTCCTGTCTCTGCCTCCTGAGCATTCAGATGTGAGGTGTGTGCTACCATGGCCAGTGCCACAGATCTCTTTCAATATGGCCGTGAATTGCCCATTAACATTGAATAGATGGAAAACAGTCTGTTTCGTGTCTTTGAGTGTGTTTATTCCTCATTTTCCATCTATTTGGAATGTGCTACGTGAATATGTGTGTCTATGTTAGGAGTGAGAGAAACCCAATGCTCTAATGCAACTTCTCAAACACCACAGATCATATATACATGCAGACTCAGCAGGTCTAGCTGGCCTTTAATTCTGAACTTCTAACAGGGTCCCAAATGATATGGGGCCTGCTAAGTCCATGGGCGGGTAGAGTGGGAGTCTCTAAGCTGTGTCTCTGCTTTGGGGAGCTTATGAAGAATTCATTACTAGTAATTACACTCCCTAATGGTAGTTTCCAAGTCCAGCTCTTTGCAATGTATAAGTCTTTTAAGAGCAGCTGGTGGATTACCTCTCTCATTAAGGGAAGTCTTTACTATCAAATGGACAAGTATAACAGGCTAGCTTTGATGGGGTCAGACCTGGGTGGCTGAGACAGAGTCTAATGGTAGGCATGTGATGGCTGGTCTCATGAGCTATAGGTAAGATTTACTGATGGGTTAGAGGGGGAGTTGTGTGAAGAAAGGGGGAGATGAACCAAATATGAAAGGCTTTGGCCTAATCAACTAGATGAGTGGTGTTCCTAGTTCCTGAGCAGAGACAGATGTGGGAGAGTCCGTGTGGGTGGGTGGGTGAGTGAGTGACTGAACAGACCAAGAAAAAGCATGTGTGTTTGTTAATTTTATGGAGCATGTTCTGAAGCTGGAAACTAGTCTAGAGCATGAAGTCCAGAAGGCCTTATCTGAAGCCATACAAAAATCTGCATACTAAAAACCAAACCAAACCAAAACAAAAATGTAAACACTTCACACAGAAAAAGGCTGGAAAAACCCTGGCCAAGGCTGACTAGAACTGGCCACTGTTTCAGGCATGTTGTTTCAAATCCATTTGGCCCTGCACAAAATCTCCATGCCCTTGGGTGGAGAGTTAAGATGCTAATGGGGCACCTGAAGGATGGAGTGGTAGATAGAACCAGGTAACAGAGCTTGAGCAAGATGGTCCAGGCTGTGCAGAGTAGCCTGCAAAACCCTAGACCTTTGTGTACGAGGCACCACTGAGCTCCTAAGCTAGCTCTCTGCTCTGGCCAGCTTCCCCATCCTTTCTCCTTAACAAACCATCTCTGGTTCCATTGCAAATATGCGTCTGTCTGTTTGGAGACACAAGAATCCAAAACCCATCTTGAAGTACCCAGGAACTCTGTTATCAGCCAATATTAGTTCTATACTTCCAAAGACTGGGCCTCGTGGGCTATAGATATCCAGAGAAGCCTAACGCTGGAGATGAAGCCTGGCTTATTGTGTGTGGGTGGCATTACATTATTTTATTCAAAGATCACAGCAGCCTTATGGATTCACAGTTATTGAAACTGCACTTAAAAGCTGCTTTCACTAACAAGCACTGATTCACCACTTGGGCCCACAAGGTAACTAAAGCAAGGTGTGAGAGTCTAGACTTCCTGCCTTCATTCTGCTGTAATCTTCTAGCTGATAATCCTAGTGCAGTGTGTGTGTGTGTGTGTGTGTGTGTGTGTGTGTGTGTGTGTGTGTGCATACATGTGGATGTGTGTACACGGGTGCCCATAGAGGCATGAAGAGGGCATCAGATCCACTGGAGCTATAGTTTTTTGAGCTGCCTGATGTGTGTGCTGAAATCCAAACTCTGCCACTCTGAGAGCAATCAGCTATCTTCACCACTGACCCAACTCTCCAGCCCCTATACTGCTTTTCTTTTTTCCATGTGTGTATGTGGGGTGGGTGAGTACATGCCTAGGTATGTTTTTATATATGTAGGTACAGATGGGTGTGCAGGTTTGAATGTACATGTGTGTCAGTGTGTGTGGAAGCTGATGAGGCCAACCTCTGCTGTCATTCCTCAGGTACCATCCACTTTTTTTAAAAGTGGCTTCTGGACATCGATCTCAGGTCCTTGGGCTTTCAAGGCAAGCACTTCCTGAGATACTTCCTATCCCTGACAGTGGTTTTCGAGTCTTAATAATCTAGAAGGACTGGAATTTGTCCCACTCTCTCTGACTAGCACCACTGTCCATCTAATTCAGGTATGTATCTCAGATGTGGCACAAAGTAACATCCAAGATGTCAGGTTTTGAGATCTAATCTGGGTCAGTGGAGGAAAAACTTATTCACAAAAGGGTTGTAAACAACTCCCAAGCCTTTTAATGGCCAGCCCTGTAGGTCTGAGAACACAGGAGACAGGGTGGAGGGAAATGGAGTTAGAGCATTGGAACTGCCTGAAATGGACACCCACATTTCTTCAAGAACACCGGGCTCTTGCCCATGTCATACTCCAGAGCCATCAGCAAATGAGAGGGGTGTGAAAGAAATGGACACAGCCCTTGCAGGCACCGGCAGTGTGCTCAGGTCTCTGCAGGGTAGTCCCCCACTCACCACTGTTGCTGCGTGTCCTGAGGTCAGATCCATCTCCTGGTCCATCGGCCTCTTCAGGAACTTCCACAAGTTCTGATGTCTTGGAGGAAAGAGGAGATGGCACAGAAAGCTAGTGAGACATGATGTATCATGGTCCAACTGAGTATAGAACTTTAATGCCAGCACTGGAGCTAAAGAGGAATTTGTATATTTGTGAATTTTTAGCTGTTATAAATGGTCCATCATCGATTGACATGTTAAGGGCATACAACTGTCCATAAACATTCACACACTTTGACATGGTTTTTATTTAAACCACATTTAGCACTGTTTCTGTGGTTCTTCCAGTAGGTGAATTAACATCACCATTTGAACTTCAAATGAGAATGGCATCCTCGTCAGAAGGTCATGAGGTAATGTCACCAATTATAGGAGACTGGGGAGGGCTCTGTTGGTAAAGTGGTTGCTGTGGGAGCATGAGAAACTGAGTTTGGATCCCTAGCCCTTATGTACAAATCAGGCATGAGGGACAGGTACTTATAACCCCAGTGTTGGGGCGGGGCACTGGGACAAGCAGGTCCCTTGAGCTTAATTGAATTCACTAGCTGAATTGGTGACTTTTGGGGTTACTGAGAAACTCCATGTCAAAACAAAGGGGGGTGGGGTGGCGAGCAGCAAGTGAGAGAGTGATAAAGGAAAACACCTTACCCTGACCTTTGGCCTCCACATGCATGCACATACGTTTGCATACCCTCACATGAATATAAGCATACACTAAAATACAATGTCACAGGTAATATTCTAAATGCCTCGAGACAGTGTCTATTGGAGCCAGACACTTCCATTTTACTATCAAATCCTTCAGTGCTCACATGAAATGGCCGTATAATAACCCTGACACAGCTGTTAAGTTCTCGTTCTTAATAAAATAGAATGAGATATGTAAGTGTGTCTTTCAGAAATGCTGCCCAGTGCTTTCTTCTCTCCTGGTTTAGTCTTCAGGAACAACTGAACTGAAGGGTGCGGAGCCCTGTCCCCTTCCTCTTTGGTGTCCCCTACAGTTCTAGCAAACTATCCACTACAATTCATCCTCACTGAGTCGAAGACAAACCGAAATGGTGTCAATGTTATGCAGAAGCTAGGAAAAAAAAACATGGAAGCCATTTTTCATTTTTTAAATCGTCATTATACTTCTTGAGAGTTTCATTCATGTAGACAATGAAACGTGATTATGATTTTTTTTCTCTTGGAATTCAGTGGAAGGACAGCTTTCAATGAGTTTAAAGATGGCTTCTTAGAAATTGTGTGGCGTCAGAAGGCTTTCTAGTCTCACATGCCTGACTTACGCTCCTGCTCTCTACTACTGGACACAGGAGTGCACAACTGTTTGACACTAAGCTTTGAGCTCAACAGTTCATTGAGGTTGGGTAGCCAATGAGTTTGAGGCACCTGCTGTGTGTCTCCTGGTGCTGGGGTTACAGAGGCACAAGCTGCATTGGCTTTTATGTGGGCTCTTGGAATCAAACCCGGGTCTTCATGCTTGCCTGCTGGTTCTCAGCCAGCTCAGGCAGCCCCTCCCCTCCCCACCCAGACACTTCATGGAACCAAAGATGACATCAGTTACCGAGGTTCTGGGGGGTGAGTCAGAACCACTGCCTGAGCTGCTCTTCTTCGTCCTCTGGGCCAGGGAAGTGCCAAATCGGAGGGCCTCATACACGGGGTCCACCTTATTGCCACAAGCTGCAAAAGAAGAAAACAAACACCCACCTCAGAGAGCCCAGATGACCCAAGAAGTCAGATCTGACCAGGGGCTTGTGTGCTTACTCTTTCCTAATGGATGAGGGCTCATATCAAATGCCTTTGCTCCAACAAGTCCAACCAGGACTAGGGTCTACATCATCCTGCTCTGGTTCCCCCAGGGAACCTGACATGTCCGACTGGAACTCTGTCCCTGATGTCTTCCTGAGTGGTTGGTTTTCCTCTATTATTCTTCCCACTAAACTTTGATGGTTCTTCCCAGGAACTGGTTTGTTTCCTACAATTAGAAGCTCTGATCACTAAGATACTTAGTCTTGAGAGAGAAAATTTGAGAACAAGGGCTCTCAAACAACCAGCCCTGATACATTACATTTCTAATGAAAAGCTATCTAGTTTATCATTTCTAGTTTAAAATCCATCCAACTAAAAAAGCCACAGGTGTAGAGGCTTCAGGTACAGACAAACAAACAAAACTAACCCACCCAACTAAAACAATATAGCCAATTAAAAGACTACATGAAAGAAGATATCCACACTAGATCTATAGAGGGCACTTCAATAAACAGTGTCATTTGCTGAGTTTCTGCTCAGCATTGATATATTACATTACATATATACTGCCACATATTATATATACTATTCTGTATATACTACATAAATACATAAACAATTGTGAAAAGTAGTGACCATTGGCTCCATCTTAGAGCATATGGCAGAGAGTTTAGTGACACTGTTGATAAATGGGAGCTGACTCTGTACCTGGGCTGTAGGATGCCATGCCCCATGCAGATGGTTGAGCGGGCGTGCCCTTTTATGCTGACAGTTGGGCAAGTGTGTTGTCTTGTTGCTGAAGGTCTGGAAAGTATGGCATCTACTTTTGAGACTCTTCTATTTTTAAACTCCATCAGGGAGATCATGAAAATATGTTTCCTCTCCAGCAACATAAGTAGAGCTAAAGAGCAAACCACCACACAGATAGCCAAGGCTACCCCACTGGCTTTGTAGCCCTTAGAGGGTCACTGTCATCATTGATTTTGCTGTTAAAATCCCACCTCAGTGCATCGCTGTCCCAACTCACCAATGGGCATAACTTCTTTAATGCATCCAAACTGTTCATGAATGAGCAAAGGGGAGCTGTAGTAACGCCGAAATCCCTTTGGCTGGAGAGAGAATGAAAAGGAGAAGGGCTTAATGTCAGGAGATGGAGAAAACCAAGCAGGAGTCCTAAAGAGAAAGCCCATTGATGCCTCCCTTTAGTGTACGGACACAGCCTGTTAATGTTATAATTTACCACTGACAGGGGACAGGGGAGAGAGGAATAGATGGAGGTAAGCAGGCTAATGTGCCATCTAGAAGGCAAGCTCCCAGCCTCTTGGCCCATGCCTGCTGGGGGTGTCTTTCTATATGCTCTGAATGTGTTGCTCTGATTGATTGATAAATAATCAGTAGCCAGGCAGGAAGTATAGTATAGGTGGGATGAGAGAGGAGAATTCTGGGAAGTTGAAGGTTGACTCAGGAGACGCTGCCAGCCACCACTGCCATGAAAAGTAAGATGTAAAGACACTGGCAAGCCATGAGCCACGTGGCAAGGTATAGATTGATAGAAATGGGTTAATTTAAGATATAAGAACTAGACAGCAAGAAGTCTGCCATGGCCATACAGTTTGTAAGTAATATAAGTCTCTGTGTGTTTACTTGGGTCTGAGCAGCTGCAGGAGCTGGGTGGACACAGGAAAACTCCAGGTATACATGCCTCTTTTGCTGTGCTCTGTAACCCCACTACATGCAGAGCCCCCACCCCCACCCCCGGACAAATCTTACAGTTTTCTACCACAGCTTACTATGGGTGCTTCAAACTATAAAAAGCCTACAGAGGGGAAGGTAGGTGTCAGGGCATGCCCAAGGCCCTCGTATGTTTTCAGAGTGTCACGCAGAACCATCAACCTTGCTTTCTAGATTCTGTCATGTTTCTGACCTGTGGTCTTTCTTTTGGCTTGTGGGAACTACCTTGGGACATACAGAGGGGAGCATGTGACAGGATTTAGAAGAAGAGGACATTGCAAGCCAGCATCACTGGATGCACTTTCTAAGAACCTAGATTTGATATATCCCAGGGTTGGAATATAACTTGGTGACCTGGGCCCTGCAAGCATCCATGAGTCCTCATACAAGTTCTTGCAAGTGGTGCCCATCTTTGTCTGAATACTACAGAGACTGGGGTTAGAGGAAGCCTGAAGGCAGGTCTTTGGTGGTGTTACATCTGGTGTTAAGTTACTGTACCTACTCATCATGAACTCCTTAGAGTCAGAAAAGACAGCAGCATTCCTTTCTGGGCTGGGCTTAACAGTTTCTGAAGACACTTGCTCATTCTCTATTGTAGACATTCTTGGTGTAATACTTTGGTCACTCTGGTTGCAATGGCCTTCAAGTGTGTTCTGGGGTACATTGAGACTGACGACCACACTCCTGGGTCTGAGCCCAATGTGTGTAGATGGTGAGATCTTCTTTAGTTTGACCAACATGATTGTCACAGGGACACTCAGGTCAGGGGGTTAGCTTCAGTCTTCTCTCCACCCCCACTCAAATAATAGCTAATTAATCACCTGGTAACCAAGTAGTAACCAAGTAAAGCACCCTAGTTTTCATGAGCTGATGGGGGTTCCTGTAATGTTGAATTTTCACTCTGAAAACCTGAATTGTCCTAGGTGGAGAAAAATGAAGCACTACAGCTGAAAAGGTCTCACCTGCTAAACTCCTGGCCCTCTCTGAGGATTGGACTCCTTTCCAGTACAGGCCTTTGGTACAGAGATCAGCAGATCTCTGCTCCTTCACTGGGCCAGTTAAGCAGGGTGGCAGGCTAGCGTTTCTGAGGATGCCTCAGAACTCCTGAGAAGGGGTTCATAGGGTGTGGCATCCCTGGGACAGACTCCTACGGACTCTGGGCAGAGTGTTCCAGGGCTCCGTCTGGCACCAGCACTTACCAGCTTGCCCATGCACCGCTGGGGTGCCAGCCCGTCTGCACACTTGTGATGGATGCTCATCTTACAGGCCCCACAGCGCAGTCCGTGCTTAGCATGTGTTCCTGTTGGGCACACAGCACACTTTGGTTAGGTACAGCTTGCCCTTTCCTGTGGTCTGGTCTGGAATCACTGAGAGAAAGCGATACTGCTAGCCAGCTAATTCTTCTCTGAGAATTCCCCCCCCCCAAGGAAACTTGAAAAGTAGAAAATTTTAATATAATGTATCTTTTCCCACATTCCACATTTTCTGCTTAAGGTATCCACTCCAGTTTCTCCTGTTTTATGTTCACGATGTTAGCAAATCTGAGCCACCCACACTGGTTTTTTGAGACAGAGTTTCTCTGTGTAGCTTAGGAACCTGTCCTAGATCTTGCTCTGTAGACCAAGCTGGCCTTGAACCCACAGAGATCTGACTGGCTCTGCTTCCCAAGTGCTGGGATTAAAGGTGTGCACTACCACTGCCCGGCCTCACTCATACTTTCCTTGTTTTAATTCAAGTTAGCAAAATACATGTTCTTTACTGTTCATGTAGGTGGTCCATCTCTTCTCTTTGATCTTTACTGAGTCATGCTGGTCCTAACATCTTATCCACTCTCATCTGCTCATCATGATGGGTGTGTGTGTGTGTGTTTGTGTGTGTGTGTGTGTGTGTGTGTGTGTGTGTGTGTGTGTTATGAGTTGAGGAAAGCTTGCAATCCCTTATGCTCATGAGCTGTTAGCCACGTGGCTTTCTTTCATTTCTCTGGATGCGTTAGCTCTTCAGTCCCTTAGGGTCCTTACATGCACTGCTTTATGTATCTGCAATGCTGTTCTGTCTCTCTTTACTTGGCTAGTGACCCCTCATGCTTTGACTCTGTCATCTATACCAAGCGTTTCCCTTCCTCTGTCCAAATATTTGTCTTCTCTTTCCCCCTTCCTTTTATCTCCCTATCACTCCCTCTTCCTCTTTCTGCCCTCTTCCCTTTTCCACTGTCCTCTCCTCTCTTCCTCTTCCCATCTTCTTCTCTTCGCTCTTCTCCCCTCTTACTTCCATCCTGTTACTCTCACACTTCTCTTTCTCTCCCCTCCAGTTCTCCACCCTCTCCTTTATCTCCCCCTCGTCCTCCTCCTTCATGCTGGAGATGAACCTGGGGTCTCACACATTCTAGGTATGTACTCCAGTCACTGAGCCATGACCCAGCCCTTCTATGGTTCTTTCTTACAGCACCCCACGATTATCTTTTATTACATTTATTCTAACTAGCAATAAGCGTTGACTTGAAAGCTTGCTTTGTCTTCCTTTCCCTCTGAGGGTGAACTCACTGAGACCAAGGACAGTGTGTGTTGGTTTGCTGCTGTAAGCCTTGCCCTGTGCACAATGCATTCAATAAACCAATGAACGAATTCCCTCATAATCACAGCACATAGTGAAGCAACAGTGGCTGATGTGAGGAACTTCATGAGAGCAGACTCTTCAACATTGCAGGAGTATTCAAAAGCTGAAAGGGAATGTCAAGTTCTATCTGCATTGTTTAGTTTTAAAAATGAAAAGTCCATTCTTTCACAGCTTGGCTCAAATACTTCCTCTCATTTTGGCGGGACTGCTTAACATATGTGGAGATGAAACTGGGATTAATTAGATGACATAACAAAGAAGTGCAAGGATCCATAGTTCTTCGGGGGAAAAGCAATGGGTAAGTCATTGAATGGGCAGAGAACTAGAAAGCTTTTGGAAGATGTCACCTGGAAAGTCCCTTCAGGAAGCACCATTTAACAGAGAACCTGTCTCTGTTACACCTGAAGACAGAAAGCTGCTCTCTGTTTCTGCCTGCACCCTCCCAGGTGCGTGAGAGGCATGTGCGCATGTATACACACACACACACACACACATACACACCACACCATGAAGGCATATTACTTGTTTATACACAGTGGCAGAAAAGCCCCCTTTGTTTCTGAAAATAATCCCTCAGGTAAAGCATGCTGTTCTTTCAAAGGCTGGCCTTGGAAAGCAATGACTTTTCATTTTAATTCAGAGCCTGCTATTTGTGCCTGTGTGGGAAGGTAAGCAAGATCTTCAAAGGGAAGTTGCTTGGCTGTGAGCTGGCCTCTGAAATGGTGTCATTATAAATGATGGTATATTTTCCTTCATCTATATATTTCATTTCCCTGACTTCGGTTTTCCGGCCCGCTTTCATACTCTGCTGCTTGGTATGAATCAGACCACCAGCAATTACTCGGTGTTAGGTGTTCCCATTTCCACTGTGCAGTGACAAGCTTGATTGAAGGGGGAAAGCTTCTACTAGGAACTTCAGAGAACAAGGAGGGAGTGGTTTGGATCACTGTAGTGGTCCTGGTTTATTCTAGAAAGATTTGGAGAAGGCCTGGCCCGACTTTGTTCTGTTACTCCTGCCTTCCATCACCAACACCTTGCTGTACGGTACCTTTATGTCCGACTAGAGAGAAACACTTAGCTTTGGATTTTAATATGTCCACACTGGCTCTTCAAATTTAAAAATGCAACCACATTTTTCTGTTCCCTTAACTACTTTCATCATCAAATGAGTACCCTCTCTCTACAGGGTTGCTAACAGAGCAGTGTCATAATGAGACATCCTTTGACCCACGAAAAGACACAACCCTGTCTCAAAAACAAGGCAATTCAGCCTGAGGAACCACACCTGAGAATGTCTTCTGGCTTCCATAGGCATGTGTACACATGTATATACTTGTGCACATCTGCATACTCACAAGCATGCTCATGTGCACAAACATATACATATACCAACTGCACTCAATATTCTTACTTCACTATAACTATAGTTCAGAACAGTGTGATGTACAGAACACCCAGCACCATGTGACTGCCTAGGTCTTGAGGCTCACTGCTTCCCAGCTTCATGAAAGAATGTTTTACAGTTATATTGATAATTACCCTGAGATATGATCAAAATTTGGAGTACAGCTTTTACTGAAAGTGTACAAATTTTTCACCATAAAATGAGGAACTTACGCATATGAAAGGATTTCAGAGAGGCTGGTGCGATCACTCAGTGTGTAAAGGTACTTGCCACCCAGCATGACAATATGAGTTTGGACTGATAGAAGGAGAGAACTGACTCTTGGAACTGTCCTCTGACCTGTACATACAGGCAGGGTACTCACATCCCTGACACACCACACAAACAAACACAGAAATGAAGGCAAAACTTTTAAAAGAAAGGAGTGAATAGGTTTAAATACTTGGAAACAAAGATGTCAAAGTAAATAGTATTGAATTGGTACAGTACACTTGATCATATCAAAGGCCTAGTAAGATTACACTGGAAGAATGGAAGTGAGCTTAATATTTATCTGGAAGAAAGAAAGCCAATGGAAACATGGTAAGCATGTTTAACAAAAGACATGAACACAGAACTTCACAGTGGTAGTTTAGAAACTGGAAGACCATAGAACCTCAAAAACAGTCGGATCCTAAAGTTCTGGCAGAAAATGATTTCCAGCCTAGGTTTTTACACCCAGCTAAACTGCCAAACATAAGTGATGGCAGAAAACAGGTATTTTCCAAAATTTCAATCTTCTTTAAAATCCTTTCTTTCCATGTGCTCATTCTTAAAAATAGCTACTGTAGAATGTGGCTTCAAAATGAGAGGATAAGTTAAGAAATTAAACATCATTTTGTGTAGTGTAGAGGAGACATGGGGTAGAAGTGGGGTCTCCTGTACAACTCTGCAGTAGCCCAGGCTAGAGCTTCAAGATGATGTAAGGGGGTAGGCTGAAGAACTAGAATAAAGGAAATAGAAGTTTAATGGCTTTGGATTTTATAATAGATACAGCATTTGACAGATCTGTAGGAGTGTTTATAAATTACAGAGGTATGAAAAGTTAAGGGAGTAGAAAGGGCATTTTTTAATTTGAAGGAAAATAAAATGTGTTTAAGAAAGAAATGCAATCATAGTAAAACATTTGAATTAGAAAATATCAGTGATTACTCATAGTGCCTAAACTGACCTTCAAACTTACACAAAATTGTGATTTAACTGTTATTCAGAAAGGGCAGAACAAGGAAGACGGAGGCAAGTGTGTCTGGTGGCCTGAGAGATGAATCCTTGTCTACAGCAGGAAGTCATCAAATGTATTAATCAGTACAAAGAGCAGAAGCATGTCCCTGAGAACTACAGATGTGAAGGTCATGGGAAGCAATGAGGACATGATGGAGGACACCGTTCTGAGTGTTGATGAGCTGGTTCCACTGCCGTACTTCAGGACCATCTGTCCTGAACTCTCCTCCTGTACTGTTGTGACTAAAGGCGGGGGAGAGGAAATGGGATGACTCAGAGGGCAGAGGGGCTTGTTGCTCAGCCTGATGGTGAGTCGATAACCCAGACCCACACAATGGAAGGAGAGAACCAATCCTGCAAATGGTTCTCTGATTTCCACATGAACACCCTGGCCCAAGAGAACACACACACACACACACACACACACACACACACACACACACACACACACACACA